ATTTACTAATCGACGTGTCACTGTTGGGGGTTCTGTCCACCCCGGCCTCCCAGAGGTCAATCAGTGGCGAAGCGAATGGTCCAATAACTTTTCTTGAGGTTTGCGCGACATGTTCTTGGAACACCTCTGGCTGATATGACCTTGTTTCAATCAATCGGCTTCATGTTCTAAGAATTGTGCTTTTGTTACTAAGCTGTTGACCAAAAATGTCGGGTTCGAGGATTCATCGGCGATGCGGGTCGATGCGGAGCCCGATGTCCTTCACGCCGATGCCGCCGATGCATCGACGACGCCGCCCATGAATCGCCAATGCATCGGCAATGCATCGGTCCCGTTCTATCGGGCCGGACGAAAGGGGGGGATTGGGAAAAGGGGGGTTACGAAATCTGCTGCATGCAGCTGGTTTCGGCCTCACCGAGGGGCCCATGCCTCGATACATGGGCGCCCCCTTTGCTATCCCCCCCTTTCGCCCGGCCCGATTCTACTCGGAGCCCACGTGGGAGGCCCCGTCGGTCGGGGCCGCGACCCCGCTCCGACTGGGGCTCGGAGCTCTCCTCCGCGCCCGCCTCGGCCGGTGCCGGCGCTCCGAGACTTCGGGTCTGATCCGGGGCGAGCCGCGGGCGACCGCCAACGTCCTCGGATGCCATCGAGGGTTTTGGTGATCTCAGCCTCCGACGCTCCAAGGCGGCGAAGTTCAGGAGGGAAAGAAACACACGGACACAATTAATCGTCGAGTCCCAGGAAGATGTGGGAAAATATGGGAAGTGGGGGGAAGACAAAAACCCAGAAAATATGGGGCAATATGGGGAATCATTTTGTTTGTGTGTATTTATTTGTGTGTCCCAGGGCCCCTTCAGAAGTGGGCACCCAAGAGCGCCCCACGACGGCCCCGGCGGCCCCCAAGAGGTCGGCAAGGCGGCCCAGGAGGGCACCAAGGTCGATCCGCTCCCGATCCGCTGCGAGTTCCCGCGGCCCGATCCCGATTTGGCAGCAAGGGCGCGACGAGTCCAGGTGCGAGACGGAGGCCTAGATTGGAGCCGTCTGGGGGTCTGAGGTGGCCCAGCATTGGTTCCAGCCAGCAGGGAGGGGCGAGCAGGTTCGAGGTTCTGGGTTCGGGAAGGGTTCTTGGCTTCGTCGGACTCTGAGGGCCGTTTTCGGGCCCAGGGACTGAGAACAAACGTATCCGGTGTGAAAAACTAACCAGATGGACCCCGAGAGGGGTCCAGAGACCGATTTTGAATGGAATTTGGCCTCGTCCTCCCCTCCTGATCGATTTCTGGTGCTCCAACCAGTTCAGACCCCCCAGCCGCCGCCAAGCGGAGCCCAGATCTTCCTCTGAGATCCAGGAGTTGCGGTTATTTCACACCGCACACCGCGATTTCGCCCTCTTCCGGGCTTCAGGACCCTCGCAGATCGATCGATCTCGAACTTTGCGGCAATGATGAGATTTCTGACGATGTCTCATTTTTCCCAACCCTCTCGTGTTGGGTTCTCGTTTTGCATAGAGCACTGCGGTCAAACACCTTCTCCTCCGCTATCATGTTCCTGCTTCCTCATGCGCTGCTCCCTTAGTGGCTGCAGACAGCGCAACTGTCGCCACTTTCGTGGGTTACTGGGAGGCACGGCTGAGTTGGGGAGTACGCGCATCCAGCCGAGACCTAAGCTCCTTTGGTGGCTGCGAACTGCGCAATTGTCGCCACGTTCATGGGCTCCTGGGAGGTCCAGCGGAGTAGGGGTGTAAGCGCAGCCAGCCGAGTCCTCGCAACTTCTGGGTGGCTGCGAACTGCGCAATTGTCGCCACGTTCATGGGCTCCTGGGAGGCACGGCTGAGTGGGGGAGTACGCGCATCCAGCCGAGACCTCGCAACTCTTTGGGTGGCTGTACATTTTGCAGTTGTCGTCACTTTTTTTGTGGGCTCCTGTGAGGTACGGCGGAGTATGGAATTAACTTACGCGCATCCAGCCGAGACCTTGTAGCTTCCTGGGTGGCTGCAAATGTTGCAACTGTCGCCCTCTTCGTGGGCTCCTGTGAGGCACGGCGGAGTAGGGCAGTACGCGCATCCAGCCGAGACCTCGCAGCTCCCTGGGTGGTTGCGAATTGTGCAATTGTCTCCACTTTTGCGGGCTCCTGGGAGGCACGGCGGAGTAGGGGAGCAAATACGCGCATCCAACCGAGACCTCGCAGCTCCCTGGGTGGCTGCGAATTGCGCATCAGTCGCCACTCTCGTGGGCTCCTAGGGGGCACGGCGGAGTACGGGAGCACGCGCATCCAGCCGAGACATCGCAGTTCCCCAGGTGGTTGCGTCCTGCGCAATTGTCGCCACTTTCGTTGGCCCCTGAGAGGCACGGCGGAGTAGGGGAGAACGCGCATCCAGCCGAGACCTCGCAGTTTCCCGGGTGGTTGCGAACTGTGCAACCGACGTCATTTTCGTAGGCTCCTGGGAGGCACGGCGGAGTAGGGGAGAACGCGCATCCAGCCGAGACCTCGCAGCTCCTTGGGT